TGTGGATGTCCACCAAAAGCACTGAGTGGAGGTAAAAATGGCCAGGGGACGTTTAAACATATACTATAACTGCTGTCTGTATATTTCTGACCGTGCAGATTTTGTCATATTTCCAGAATGCCTATAATAACTAAGAAGGAATCAGCGTGTGTGATTGTTTTTTTGTGAAAAGACATACAAATTTCAAAGATTTCATCATAGAAAATTCTCACAAAGGATTCACTGGAAACTTCTTCAGGAGAGTAATACAATATACATGGTCTTTACAAGTGTATGTAATCTACTGTACATGACTGTAAGTAGGGTCACAAACAGAAAACTTGGGCCCTTATGAGGAATGGGGTTCTAGTTTGAGAAACACACGCTTGCTCAGTGGAAAACAGTGGTCAGCTTTGACCTGAAAATACATCAGCATTTTTTTTCTTTGTAAATGAGTATACCTATAGGTAACAGATTATGAATAGATGGTTAACTAATAAATAAATAACTTAAGAGCTTACAGCTGAGTGTTTCCAAAGGACTGTCTGCACACCTCAAACGTTACTTCAGTAGTATAACTGTGGAGTGAGTGTTAGCAGACCAGAAGTGAGATAGGGTTCTACAAACCACATAGTTGATATTACAACATACACATCAAGGTCAGGAAAGATAAGGAGAGACGCTGCTGATTGGATCTTGCAGTTACTGTTGTGTACTTATCAAACTTTGATGTCCTAGTTTCACACATCCTAAAAAGCACATCATAAACAGCCACCAAAGTTGTTGCCAACAGTCAATCTGGGACTACATGAAGGGACAGGAGACACCGAGACAGCCTCCATCCACAGAGGAACTGTGGCAAATTCTCCAAGATGGTTCACAACCCAGCTGCCAAGTGCCCTGTGGGCAAGTGCACCGCGGTGAACTGGTGCTGTTGAAAAGTCGAAGTGTACTCATCACACCAAATGCTCATCTGATTTTTTTTTTTTAGTTCTTGGCAACATTTTTGAAAGATGCCAAAACTTTTGCATGTAGATAGATGCCGTGGAAGTTGGCTTTTTGTATCTTACGATAGGGCTGCACAATTAATCGAATTTTAGTCACGATCACGATATTGGCTGATTTAAAATGTGTAATGCTGTGTTCACACCAGACGCCAGCAAAATCAGTCGCGCTAATGATTTACATGTAAATCATCCTGCTGCGGCACGATTGACGCAAATTGGGTGAGTAATTCGCACGTATGACGCGATTCTAGACGCGCCTTTGAAGAGAAAGTTGAAAAATCTGAACTTTTGCGATCTGACTCACCGCGATGGCCAATCAGCGTTGAGATTCTCTGGTGACATCAACATGATTCATTGAGTTTATTAGAACTACACCGTGATTACTAATTGATATACTTTGGAGTTCTATTTACATCCAGTTTATAATTTAGTTCAGAAAATATATTTACAGAATGGAAAAGGAAACTAGTGCCCTGTTTTGTTGCCTCTTCATTATTCTTGTATTTATCTTTATTTATTTTTTAAGGAGTTACACTGAATTTTGGAGAAAAAGAGGACCTATTTCATTTTTAAGCAGATATTTGCACATTAGCAGGAATATAGCACAATATATGAATGTGAAAA